ACCCCACCCCTTCCCTGCTCACCCTGGCTGGGGTAGCTGGAGTTGGGGGAGTCTGAGGTGCCGTGGGGTCCCGGGGGTGTCCTCGGCCTAGCCGTGCCTCCTGAGGACTTTTACACCCGCCAGGGCACAGGCACCGCAAAACCTGTGGTGACGGATGGAGCCGGGCCCCCTGGTTGTGTGTGGGAGCTGCAGGCTCTCGGCTGCCATTTCAGTTAAACAAGAAGTGACAGAAAGCCCAGGGCTGTACCCTGAGAGCAGCGAGTGGAACTGACCTCCATTCCCTGTGCACAGAGGAGCTGAGAACTGCATCTGGGTTAAATTTACAGAGTGGCACAATTTTCGCATTACATTTCTCCCTGTCCTCCGCCTGCTCCTCATGAGAGATTCATTGCTGACAAAGCCCTGTGCTTTCAATGGTGTTTTGACAGCCTTGAATAATGCTTGCAGCCACGCAGATGTTTCTGGGAGTGGAATCAAGCAGTTTCATGTTTCTTTCCTCATTCTTTTTTCTGCAGAGCCATGGAGGTCCCTGTGGAGCCAGCTGTTGGAAATAAGTCCTGTGGCTTGCCCACTGCCACAGATCTCAGAGAGTCGCAACCGACACCAAAAAATACAGTACAGATCACAGTACTGACAGCACAGGACCTGGTAAAGTTTTCCTGAAAATGTCTCTGGTGGTTTAATAAATGAGGCCAGAGCGATTCTTTGTGCTGTGGTTCCATTTGGGGCCAGGTGTGAGGTGATAAGGTTATAGGGAGGAGTGATGAGTAATTGGAGATTCAGCGATGCCACGCTGTGGCTTGTTTGCAGAGTAGAGGCCTCGTGATTTGTGCAGACTGGAGGATGCACCTCCTCAGCAGCAATCCAGAGATGCTGTGTTGAAATGTACCTCTCTGCCTAACTATGTGTAAATGGCAGCTTTTTTTAAGCAAAACACAGTGAAAATGTGCATCACTGAGTCAAATACCTCTAAAAAGACCCGACCTTGGATATAAAGGCAGATTTTAATCCCAGCCACAGTGGTTTAAATGGGATCGAAACCAATATGGTGGCTCTAGTTTTAAAAAGGCAGTGGCTCCCATGCAGTTACAGGGCAAGACTGTGCTGGTTCTGATCAAACCATGACTACTGTGATTTCCATGTGCTATGTGATGCACCCAGCTGTCCTGAAAGTCTTCTAGAGGAACTGGCATTTAGGAGGGAATGCGGAGGAGAAGCGCAGCTACTGCTGCAAGCAGAAAAATGCAAATCCCTGCCTCTGCTCAAGACAAAAAAAAAGCAAACCAAAACCACCTGCCTGTTTTGGTTTTTGAGGTTTTTATCTTGTAGTATTTGAGTGCCTGTCGCACTGACAGATTCAGCACACAGCATCTTAGGTAAGAAGAAGAAGGTCAGAGGAGGGAAAACAATGCTGAAAATAATAGACCAGTGGACTGATTGCATCCAGCATATTACTTTGTACTTCTGATTGCTCCATCTTGGAAAAGGCTATGGCAAAAGAAGAGAGGGTTACGAAAGTGCAATAATAAGAACAACAATACGAAGAAAAAATTCCAGCTATCAGAAGTGTGGAATCTGCTTAATTAGAGGTGATGTAGAGAAGGATGAGAGAGGAGTCTAGGATAATTAATGGTACACAGAAAGGTTAATTGGATTCTTCTGTTTAGCCATTCATAGAATAAATGCTCAAGGAGGCAGTCAGAATGACTGAAAATTAAAACCAAGTGAATGAGATATCTTTCTGTGCAAGAGCCAGTATGGAACTAATTACCCCAGCGACATAGTGAGAGGGAGCTGGAGGAGAGGTCCATGGAGATCAGTCATCCCTGTGGCTCAGGACTAAAGAAAACTGGGTTTTGGTACAACAGATTTTGGTACAAAGGACTGGGTTTGGGTACAACAGTCCCCTTGTTCAGGGTGATAGCCACTCTTCCCTGGAGAAAGTAAACCATGTTTGTCCTGCAGTGAGGCTTTTCAGTAACTGCCTGTCTCAGCACTACTTGTGCTGCCATGGAGGTGCCCAGTGCTGCCTGCTTGGCTGGGCCTGCCCCAGTGTGAGGATTGCAGCTGCGATGTGCTGTGCTCTCACTGTTCACCCATGTTTAAACCCCTCTGCTGAGACATTGTAAAACTCAAACCTCCTCATTGCTGCTTAAAGCAAGTGGTATGAAGGTGGTGTAACAACAAACTGCAGACCTCCCAAAGTGCTTGCTGGAGCCCTTCTTTGATTCCAGGGCTTTCTCCACCCTTCTAGCCACAGCTCTTGATATTCCCAGGGGCATCACAGCATGGTGGAGCAGCAAATTTCCCTCCTAAAGACAGCACAGGGTGAGGTCTCAGCACAGCCAAGCTCAGCTCCCCTTCCCCATTCCTGCAGTGTGACAGCCAAAGACCCCCGCAAAGACCACCGAGTGCTCTGTCTCGGGCGCTGAACTGGGCTGCCTCTCAGAGGCGACTTTGATCATGAGCCTGTTGCTGCAGAACCAACTGCTTAATGTGCCGTTTGTTTGACAGAAAACTATCAAAAACGATGTGTTGGTTACTTTGGTGCGTGTGGAGTACAACGGAGAGATCTTGGGAGACTCCTCCAAGACCAATGTCTTCCCAAATGGGACAGCAAACTATAATTTTGTGACCAGCTTTGAGTGCAGCCTCAATGGTCCCAACTCCTTGGATGACATTGCGCAAAAACCGGTGCTGTGTAAGTACCTGACGCTGAATCTCTCTCCTTGGAGATAGATTCTGTCAGCTGCTCTGCTCTGCCTGCCTGCCAAGAGAGTCACTCATTTGAGAATAGCATTTTGGCAGCAGCGGTGGGGGGGGGGTCTCAGTACTTCTGTTCCCATCTCTGCCAGCTGGAAGAATCCCCTTTCATGTTGACCTGTGCTCCTTGGCTTCGCGGCCCTTGTCGGCCTTGGGAGATGAAGTAGGAGCATGTGCTGGAGCTGATATGGACCCTTTGCAGCCCCTGAACTGCTGGTCTGAAGCTGTCTGAGAAACCCTGCCAGCTTCTGTCTATTTATCTCTCTAGTGACAGTGATAGAAGTGTTGCAAAAGGACAAGAAACAGAAGGAGAAGACTGTGCCTCTTGGCCAAACTGTGGTGGACCTTCTACCTCTGCTGCAAGGTACAACATCAGCTTCCAGAGTGTCCAGAACCACTTCTTACTTCTTATTGGCACTTTCTGAACTTTGCTTATGGAGCCTTCCCTAAAACTTGCCTCCTTTTGACAAAGAGCACTCCACAGCGTCTGTAGAAAGCTGGGTCTGGAGGAAGAGGAGGTGTTATCAGTAGCTCACCTTAGGTGTTTAGCCCTGATTTCTCTACAGAGGGTCTCACTTTATGCTGTTCTATTTCCTGTTTCTTCTCAGGGCAGTGTTCATTTAAGGTCTCAGCTCCTTTGTATGCAGTACCTGCCTCTCCATTAGAAAGCCCCCATCCTGAGACCAAGGTATGTGAGATTTGGAACGGTTCCTTCGTGCATTTGTGTGTCTGCTGCTTTTTTAACGGGAAGGTGAGCGTGACTCAGCTACCTAGCTCATCACGGATGTGTTATAGCCCTATGTGTTACAAGCTTGGAGGCCTTTCCTACTCCCATTGACGTCTGTCCCTAGTTGCCTATGATAGGTGAGGTCGTGCTAGGAAATGCTAATGTGTGCCGCTACCACATTGCTCAGGAAAAAATATTCAAGATGGAAAGCATAGTCCTGAAAAATCAGAAAAAGACAAAGGCAGGATTACCTGCCTGACTTTGTTAGTCTTCCTTCTGTAGATAAAACGTCTCCGAGTCCATTATTATACAAGGTATTGTACCTTGCCTTTCTTGCCAGGTCCTTATTCATTCAGCTGGTTGAAAAGTACCCAGTGAATAAATCAGGGAATGAAGTGGGAGACTGGGAAAATGTGCCTAATTTTGCTTCTCAGTCTGGCTGCAGTTAGCACTGCAAATGAATTGGAGGGGTAGATGTTGCATTAACTTTCCTGTGTTTGAGAGGTGTTACATAGGAAGCAAGACAGGGGGGCACTCATTAGGGAGGAGAGATAATAAATGCTGATGAGCTGTTTTTTTGTTGCACCCCATCTATCCAAGGTTGGGACAGGTAATTAAAGACTGCACACAGCACATGAAGAAGATAGGGCAGAGTCCAAGTGTGGCCCTAGCTTTGGCAGGCTCTGAATCACCAAGGGAAAATAATTCTTTTCCATCCAAAATGTTTTTTCTCCGTGGCTCATTTTAGGAGACCCTTGGGGCATACACCATGCCTCAAGCAGGCTCCAATTTAAACAAATATCCCAGTTCAGACAAATTGATCATGAAATGCCTTTCCTGTGCCGATCTGTTTTCTTTACATCTGAGGTGAGGAATAAGATAACATTATACATTCTGGCCTTGGATTTCTGCTTGCTTCTCCCTCAAGAGCAGGAGACTTATTGTCTAGTTCCTGGCTGTACTTTATTCTTGTCTCACAGGGTGGCCTTGAAGTGACAGTGTGCACTGAAGAGCCTCTGGTTTCTGCAACGCAGCTTTCAAATGGTAACCTCCTGAGTGTCACACTAGAGGCAGCTTATTCTGTCCCTGAAGCATTTGCTTCCCCTGGGCCCCTGCAAAACTACATGGCTTGCTTGCAAGTACCGGCAGCTGGAGAGGTGAGCATTGGTCCAGGCACAGTGAGGTGGGTTTTGGCTGCTACAAACTGGATTGGTCTCCCACCTTGCAGAAAAGTGTTCCAGCTTGTGGGATGCACAGCTCCTGTGCTTGCGCAACAGCAGCCTTTGTTGCGAGTGCTCAGGGTCTCTGTGACATGACGTGTTCCTTTAACACAAAGGTCTGCTTGTCAAGATTTGGTTTGAAACTAGCAGGTTTTTGTCCACATGGCTATTAATTTTTTCTTCATTCTTTGTATGCATGTGGTGGAGTGTGTTTTCCAAGCCAGGCCCCTGCACTGCTGCTTTGCTTGTTAGACCCAGCTTGGCACAGCTGGCACTTGCTCCTGCTCATGTTGGAAATGCAAATCCTTTCATTCTTACGTCTCTCTAGAAGGAATTACCCATCCTCTTCAAGAATGGCATCCTGAAACTTGCTGGTGAAAAAGAGCCATTACCCCGGCCCAAAAAATGGCCCCTTGCCAACGTCATGGCCCCTGGTGCTCTGAGCATACCCAACTCCTTCATTGCTGGTGGTCCTTATGAGGATGAGGATGGAGAGCTCAACACAAGAAAGGTGAGGAAGGACTTGCAGTGTCATGGCTGAAAGAGAACCAGCAGGTCTCTCTGAAGGGACTAAGGAAGACTTGCGGAGACTTGTGATGGGAGGAAGGCGGGTCATCAGTCCCCTGCTCAGCATCCAGACACAGAGATGGTTTCCCCTGGGACAGCAAATGTGCTAACTCACCACAGGAGAGTTCCCTAGGGTGCATGTGGCAGGTCTGGTCCCCAGTAAGCTACCCACTCCTGGGCTGCTGGGCTGTGAGATGGATTATCTCCTTGTGAGCTAGGTCTTAATACTGATGGGCTGTGGTGTCTGCAGGGAGAGCTGCTAACGTACTCTGCTAGGATGGCCTGAGTGTGGTGAGTTGGATACCTCTGTCTGACTCATGTTCTTTCCCAGGGAACATTTTTAGGGGATGATTTAGGGAGGATGCAGGTTGCAGAGATTGCTGTCCTGGCTCTGACCATGCATTGTTTCTCACAGGACAGGGAGTTTAGGATCCAAGCAGAAAGCATGAAGAGAATCATATGGGACATGGAAAGGCGCTGTTACCTGGATCCTGCTGCAGTAGTCACGTAAGGGACCTGAGAACCTCCCTTCGCACATGGAGCAGTGGGGAGAAACCACCCCAGGATGCGCTCAGCTGAGTGACCTAAGGCAGGGAGCAGCAACATGCAGCTGCTCTCAGATCTCTTACGTGGTCAAACTGTGTCTCTGCCTTACCTCCTGTGACTCCTGTAGCTGTCTGTTGGCCAAAGGTGTTCATATGAGCATGGTAACAGCTAATTGTGTTTAATTGCTGGCAGCAGCTTAGTTCTGCTATGTTGGGAGAAAATGAGTTGGCTGTAGCTGCTGTCTCCAGGCTGTAAATGCTTGCTCATGCTGCCAGCAACTGGAGCTGGTGACTCTTTCCTCTGCAGTTTGAAGGAAGGGGCAGCAGAGTTATGGTGAGTAGGCATGGAGTAGGGTGGCCCACACAGCTCTCCTCTGAGCTGATAATTAAGTTTTGCTGAATTCTCAATTCATTAAAATCCTTTCACTCCATGTGGGCTCTCCTCATTTGCTTTTTTATTGGATAAACATTACCTTTAGCGGCTCCAGATATGCTCAAGATCAGGATAAGTATCATATTATCTTTGAATCCTGCTACATTCTTGTTCTCAGCTGCATCATGGCTGTGAGTTTCACAGCCACATTACCCCTGGTGTGGAAATACTCCCTTCTATCTGGTTTGGTTTCCCCCCCTCCCCTCAGTTTCATCAGTCTGCGTGCTGGTTTTAGAGTTACGAGACACATTGAACAGGAGCTCAGGGTCCACTTGCTCTGTGCAAGTCGGGATTTATACCAAATTTAATCATGTTCTTTCTTACTTTTTTCATTTCTGAAGTAACCAGGGGAGAGAGAGAACCTAGTGTGTTGCTCTTGCAATTGTTTTATAGCTGGTTGTGCCATAAACACACACAGTAGTGGACGGAGAAGAAAATGTACTAAGCCTGTCCCAAAGTACACATGTTCCAGTGTTTGCTGTGTCTCATGGGAGTGGGTAGGAGCAAACCCAATAGTGCACATTTGGGAGCTGCTGGGGCAGAAGGGAGGGTGGTCTGGCTCTCCAGCTTGGTTTCTGCGTCTTCTCAGTGCCCTCTTTTGTGTTCAGCCTGCAGAAGCGCATTGAGGAGTGCCAGTACTGGCCCGTGGAGATCTGCAGGATGTCTGTGTCCTCACTCAGCAGAAGGAAAGGTAGCAAAGCTGACAAGGTAAAAGTGCAGAGGACTATGTTGTTCTGGCTTGTGGAGCAGCATTGTGTTATCAAGCATTTTCCTTTCAATGCCTTTGTAATACCAAAACCAGCCTTGACCCAGCCAAAGCAAGTCAGAGCTAGAGGCTTTGTAAAGGCATTAATCAGCCTTATAGAGCTGTCGAATAGACAAAGGATAATCTTTTTTCCATACAGCATACAAATAGAGCTCTTGCTGACAGTCTATGGTGGCTTAGTGGAAAAGGGTCAGGGAGAAAGTGCTTTTTGAGAATTGAGGTAATTCACTTAACTTGTCATCAGCCAATGGATTTTTGGAGCATCTTGAAGGAATTAATGCCTTATTTCTTGGGGTGTAAATAACTTGCGCTTTTGTACATAAATGGAGGTAGTTTAACAAACAGTCCCTTAGCTAATGGTTCTGTTCCTGGTGGTTCTCGTGTGAGCTCCTAAGCTGTTCCAGGACAAAGTCATGTAAGTTGGTATAAAATCCTCTCAGCACTCACTGGTGCCAGGATTTTGCAGCTCTGATGGAGATCCTTCTCCCTTACCCTCACCATTCTGCTGCTAGCCCGGACTCTCAGACCTCCATAGCTACTTGATTTCTGTCAAGCCTGAGATGTGCCCCTCTGGTAGGGTTGCTTGAGTTTCTAACCCCATCGCTGGTAGCTTTGCAGCTGCATCTCAGAAGGATTATCCTGAGGAATGGCACCGTGTGGCCAGTGAGAGAAAAGCTTCCTAATTTATATTCTACACGACTCCAGTGTTTTCATCCAGGTTGTCTCGGCTGTGTGCCAGTGACAGAGAGCCACTGGCTCATCAGGCACATCAGTTTGCTGTGTGGCCTCTTCTTAATGGGATTGGTGACCTTGTTTCCTTAAAGAGCGTAACAGTCTGTTCAGTATCTCAGTCCCTTACTCTGTGTTTCCAGGGAGATGAGGACAAGCAGATTTTATTCCATGGTGTGGCATATGTCAACATGGTGCCTTTGCTGTGCCCTGGTGTGAAGCAGATCCGAGGTGCTTTTCGTGTCTTTGCCTACCAAGACAAGGAGGTATTTGAGAAGGTGAGAGCAGGCCAGATAGCCCAGCTCCACTCCAGCTCTGCAGCTGTGTTTATGCAGAGTGGGGCTGGGAGCAGGCAGCATGGGCAGTGTGGCTCTCAGAGGCTGGCTCTGAAACTTCACTGCCCTTCTAGTGATGGAAAAAATGAATGAGACAAGCTTTTAGGTGCAGACTTCTCAAAAGCAGGGGATTTATGGGTGTGTGTGAGCAGGTCTGGAGGCTGAGAGAGGCTCTGAATCCCACTTTGCTCCCTTCTCTGCCGGCAGCCGAGCAGGGAGAGCTGTAAGAACACTCCTCTCTCCCCAGTCTGGAACATGGGCAAATGAACTGCATTGCTGGGAAGAGCAAACAGTGGCTCTAAAAGGATAGCGTTACCCCAGGCAACAACTAAAAAAGCTGTCACTGGAGCTCTTTCAGCTGTAGCTCATGGAGGTTTATTTGTCTTTGTGTTTCTCCCCCTTCTGTTACTAAGAGTGCCAGTTACATCTCCATTTTCCCACAGTACTCCCAGAACAGACCTGAGCTTGTTTCAGGAGGGCAGACATACAGCCTGGTTTTTCTGCCCTCGTTCCCCGTAGCGCTGCTGTCCAGGCCACAGGAGCCGGGTGAATTACAGCCCTTCTCCTGCCTCCATGCTTCTGCTGGCTGCTGCAAAGCAGGGCTGGGCACACAGTGCTTCCCTGCTCTCTGCTTCACTGCTGTGATTAATGGGCTCTTGGCTGCATGGTACTCCTTGTCCTGTAGCATTTCTCTGTCACAAGTGAAGTGACACACGCTCTCTCTGTTGTTTGCATTTTCTGGTTTTGTGGATGCTTTGGGCTGTGCCTTGGTCTAGACTGTCTTGGTGTAGCTGCTCCATCCTCTCCTGAGCATCCCCTCAATTCCTGTTAGCCCATACAGCAGTGCCAGCTGGGAGGGAACTGCCTGCCTAGGTGGTTAAGCAGTATGTAAACAGACAATCTGAAAAAACCCTGTTCCTTGCAATTCACTGATGTGTATCTGCTCCACACCAGAAGGTGAGCCAGGAGCTGAGAGTCACTGCAAGGCAGGTGGAGGCACCCCAAAAAATTGCAGACCAGACCTGGTGAGGGTAGCCAGACTCCTCTAACAGTCCACATACCAGACAAGTCCATAGCTGTGAGGCAGGTCCAGGATCACAAGCCAGGGATTCAGGACAGTGGGTCAGGGTCAGGGCAGCATGGGGCTGGGTTCCAGCGAATCTACCACATAGCTTGGGCAATAGTCAAGGGCCAGCACCTTGGTGAAAATGCAGCTCTTGAGAGAGAACCCCACTGAGGCTTTCTCAGGCAGCTCTTTTAATAACTGCCTATCCTTGAGGCTTCACAACTGTATGTACCAGAGCTGCCCTTGAGCACTGGCATCTAAACTCCTAAGAGGGGAGGACAAGGTTGCATAGCTTCCTAATGCATTTGGGACCCTTAGAAATGTGTTTTATGATGTGAAGCATTAAGGCAAAGAGATGAGCGTGGCTAGTTTGTACCTTGGTTCCTTCTGTTCTCTCCTTTTCAGACTAAAAGTCAGCACAGTGTTTTCCAGGATCTCAGGTCACGTCTCAGTCTGACTGAGCTGTGGATCCCAGGAATTGGTACTCTCCCTTCCAAAGCCTTTTCCAGCAAGACTCAGAAGGAAGATAAAGAGAAAATCACCAAAGATAAGGATTACAACAAAAAGGTAAGGTCTAGAGAGGCATAATACTCCACTGCCACATTGGAGGTAGTTGGGGCGTGCAGAAACCAGGGTTTGGTGCTGTGTTGCCTCAGCCAACTGAGAGATACTCATTATCTTGAAATTTTAGTACATGCTGCCTGAACAAATATACAACTCGCATCCTGAATTTACAAAGGTGTGAGGTTTAGAGATTCTCAAACAAGAGATGTCTTTTCTTTTTCTTCAACAGATATCCACGGTGCCCAAAATCCACTTGTCAGATGCCACTGCAGATGCTGAAAATGTCCCATATATCAGCCTTGATGGACAGGTAATTATGCATCGCCAAAGAGAATGAAAGACTGCTAGGCCATCACTGTACTGCTGTCTCACACCTTTCACACAATTAAATTCTTTGAGTGAGTTGGACAAGGGATGTTTTACGTAGATGCTGTCCTGGAGTTCTTCCAGTGATGTCCAGCTGGAGGGCAGTCTAGCATTGGGCTAGAAAGTCTCTGTAATAATCTGGCATTTATTTAGAAGGATTCCTTTGTATTCTGGCTTCTTCCTCAAAACATCTAGAATGCACACTGGTTCTGCAAGCAGATTGATTATCTGGGCTTTCTTCTTTTTCCTAGACTGGTTTCTTGAGCTGACTTTTGCTGCTGTAAATCATTCTGAGACCAGGTTATAAAACAAGTTGTATCCTCCAGTGTGAAGAGGATTTGCTGAAGATCTGTAGCTATATGCTCAATCTTTTGTCATGCCAGTAATGGCTCTAGACATTGAGAGAGCAATGTTTATCTTCACAGCTATATGCTGAGGCAGGAACGTTCCTGGTGATGGAGATAAAGCTGGACAAGGCCTTGGTACCAAAGCGATTGCGAGAGGAGCTCACCAGTCGGTGCGTAAAGACATGCTGTAGAAGCAGGGCTGTACAGTGAGCCACCCCCTTGGAGCGCTCTGTAAGGACCATCTGAGGGCCTGAGCCAAAGCCCACAGTAGTCAGGGGGAGGATTTGGCCAAACTGCTTAAGAAATGGCATCTGGTCTGTTGGTAAAACACTTGCATTCATCCAAGCTGGCATCTCCCTGCCATTCCTCTCAAGAGGACAGCCACCAGAACAGCATCACAGTATCTGTGTTCCCACCTGGGCTTTGCTTCCCATTAATCCCCATGGGCTTGCCTCTTGCATGTGATGTTCAGCTGCTTGGTCAGGACTGGCCACCAGTGTGGACTGCCCTGGGTAGCGCTGCTCTAGCTTCACATAGCATTCTGTATTTTTTTTTTCATTTTCACAAGTTTTTTCACTATCTTCTACCCACTCCTTGACTCTTACATTTTTCCACATCATTCCACTGTAGAGCTGCTCTTTTGCCTCTGCTGCTTTGAGTCTTCCACTGTCTGTTTGATTTGAGACAGTTGCTTCCTGGCCAGTGGTAGTCCTGCTGTGTTACAGTCTAGGAAAAGGCCTAGCATGTATAATTTATTGAATAAAAAAATAGAAACTGCAGCAAACGAATAAAGTATAACACATCTCTCTCAAACAGCAATATAAACAGCAGCTGTTCTTTGAAGGGAAATTATGTGTGTTGTCTTCTGTGCTGCCTGCTGTCTTCTAGGAAGAACAGGTTGAGGAAGGTAAAACCCTCTTGGAACAGACCTTCTCTTGGCCTGTTTTATACCATTTCTACTCTACTGCAACTTGTGTGAGTTCAGTGTAACTCCTTGTTCACCTGCTGTGCACAGATGCCAGGCATGAGAAATCAGCCCTCCTGAGTCGTGGGAAGGGTCCTGCCTTGGGAGTCTCCAGCTGATGCCACATCAATGTGTCCTAGCAGATGAGATCAACACTGGATCTACTTCTGGAAGGATGTTTCAGTACTTATCTTACTAGCAAACCATAGCTCTTTTGTTTTGAGTTACATCCAGAATTCTCTGTCAGCCTCCTCCTGGCCTTCATCACACACTTGCTTTCCCCAGGCTGTTTTTGGTTTTCTTTTTTCTCATCCAAAAGTAAAGCAGTTTGGTTTTCATCTGTACCACTGGTGGAGGTAACACATCTGTTCTGAGGGTGGGACTGTGAGCATGGGAGCTGCACTACCTGCTTGTTCAGGCTCTGTGGCTTTCCAAGGAGCAGTGACGGGTCTCTGCAGAGCAAGAGGACCGCTCAGGGCCACAGCATGAAACTACACAGCATAAAGTGTGAGAGGGGTTTGCGTAGGAGAAGTGGCCAGGGTTTGGGACCTGGAGAAGGCAGCTGGCCAGGAGCCCTGTAACTAGCAGAACAGTTACAGGATTGGATTATATTTAGTGGAGAATAAGCGATTTGCTTTGCTTGTTTTAGGAGCCAACAGAGGGATGTGACACCATTGCTTGGTGGGCTGGGCTGTGTTCTAAGGACCGAAGGTGTGTTGGTCTCAGCAAGAGATCTTGATAAAAATCCCAATGAATGTAGGCTGGTTTGACACCAAGGATTTTAAGAAAATCTTTGTAAAAATTATGTTAATCCTAAGGAGTTTTGATCCATATTTGAAAGGTCATTGTACCCCTAGTAGTGGTACAAACAGGGTCAGTGTTGTGTCTAGGGGTTAATGCATGGCCAAGGGATGAGGTGCCACAGCCGCATTGTGTAATGTTGAGAACTGATGGGGTTTACAGTGATGGAATTCTTCAGAGCTTTCCTTAGGCAGGGACCTTTCTTACCACTGTTCTGGTAGACCCAGGAGTCTGTGACTTAAAGATGGTGATCTGCTTCTGTAGGGAGGTGGTTTTGATTGCTCGCAATAACAAATGTTAACCTTACCTGCAGGGCTGAGCTTCTATGATAGTTTTTGTGTGGTGGGTCAGTCAAACCCTGTGAAAATAACAACTAAATAAATCTTATCTAATCCCTATGGAGTGTAATTATTAGCAGGGAGTGAGGCAGCTGCTGGTTCTCTCAAGACAATATAATGAGCTATAAGCATTGAATGTAGGTGTCTGGTCTCCACAGTTTATCTGTGGTCCGAGACTGCAGTTTCCCCCCACCTTGGATCCCTGTGATTTGTCTCACGGATATGATGACAGGCTGAAGCCCTCACACTAGAGGCTGCCTGTGCCCAAGACAAGTCAGTGTTGCTGACAGCGTGTCTGGCTGATCTCTTCTGTCCTCTTGTTGACAGGGTCCAGCAGATGATTCCTCCTCGCCCTCCACTGCCTCCCCAGACTGCTGGAGCCAAGAAGGTATGTGTGAGAGCCTGTGGCCTTGCCACCACTCTGCCACCTCATCCTGCTGTTATCACTCCATCACAGGAGAATCTTCATTCTCAATCTCAGCCCCACAGCAACATGTAGAGGAAATACATAGACAATAAAACTTCTGGATGTGTTATCTTTGCAGTAGTATGCCTTGGGAAATCTTTCCTGGACTGCATTGCTCATGTTCACAGCCCATATAAAGGGGAGAGATCTTGCAAAGGTAGGGGAGGCAGCAGCATGGGGGTATTTGGAAGGAAATTGGATGCTGGGAAAGAAGCTACCAGAACCTTAAGTTTACCCTGGGCTGTTCTAACAGTTTCTTGTCTCAGATTAGCCCATGTGCTTCATCAGACCCAAACAAATGTGAACAGAATCAGCCCCAACCACTTCCAGGTCATGCAAAATTTTTGAGTACTTTTCTGTGTGCAACATCCTCAGAAAACGGTCTGAGAGCACTGGCTCATATTCTGTGGGTACAGAGCAGCCATTGAAGGAGAATGCCTTCAAATGGCCCCTGACCGATGGTGAATTCAAAGCCACAGTGTGGGAAGAAGCAAACTTCAATAACTGACCCCAGTGCTGCAGCAGAACTGATTTGTGCTGGACTGTCTGGAGTGCACAGAGTGATACATCGCAGCACATGGAATCTTCTGCCACCGAGATTATTGAGATTGCAGACTCTGCTGAAGAGGGCTGGCCCATGAGTTTAAAAAGCTCCCAGCAAATGAGATATATTTTACTTACAGCCAATTATACTGCTATAGAAGAGATGATGATGACAGAAATACTAGGTTCAGATTGAAAAATATAGCAGGACCAGTATCTAATTAGGAAGGACCTCTTTTTCATTTACATGTAGATATTTTTGCAGCCCTCAGGCATGGCCAGAAAAGCATGTGTGACAGATTAATTGAGACTTGAGTCAGGAGGAGTTTATGGGAGGTGTGGGCTCTGGCAAATAAAATACATTTCAAGGTTGATGGTAAAAGTGACTTGTGAAGTTTGATTATTTATTTATTTCGTAGGCTGTGGAAGATTATCACAGCCATGTCACCAGCATTGCTGTTGCCATCCTAAGTGAATACCACGAGCTCTTTGGTAAGCAGCTGCCTGACCGAGGAGCCATAGACCACCAAACTCTGGAGAAACAGAAGCGTCAGCTAAACTTCGAGCTCAACAGCTCTGGGAAATATTTTGCTTTTGTGGAACAGCTCAAGGTAAAGAGTCCATGTGTGCTTTTTACTTCCCTACTTGTTTGGTCCTGGCAGTTTCTCAGTGAGGAACTGCCGCTCCACAGTGGTAATGTAGGATGATGTGTTGCTCCAGAATCCCTTCCCGCCACCTGGAACCATTGCAGAGGGCATGGCAGGGGACAGATTTTCCCTCTAACAGAGCAGGCACCTAGCTGCTTTGGTCACACACTGGGAGAACCATTTCTGTTAGTGGGAAGAGACTCCAAAGCTGGTCACATCCATTTGCCCCATGCTCATAGCCTGAGGAAGGCAAAGCTGACTGCTGTTGCACACTCACAGTCCACCCTGACAGAAAAAAAAGGGGGTTATCCTCTCTTGGGTAGTCAGCCTTGGCTGTGCTCTGCTTGGAGACCCCCTTTGTGCTGAGGGAATGAGCCTTCCCACTTATTGTCCCTAAAGGGATACTGGTGTGGCAGGGAGAGCCAGGGCTGGGAGGTAGGAAAGGCATTCACCTCTGCTTTCTTTTTCTATTTAAAATTTTTATCAGTGCCTTTCTTCTTCAGAACTAAGTTGGAGCTTCAGGCTAAAGCAGTGTGGTCTGGCTCTGTGTGATTACGGAGCTGGTGGGAGGTGCAGGGGGGACCTGCCTTGTCCAACAGTTATGTGTCTCTGCAGTATGCTGTAGTGAAGATTGTGAGGGAGAAATACCTGAAGACTATGACATTTGAAACCCAGGAGGAGCTCCAGGCATTTCTCAGTGAGCTCTGCGTGTACCTCATGGACGAGATGCGTGTTGCCCTGAACCAGGTAGGGAGAAACCTGGGTGACTTGAGATACAGCTTCGCTGTGGATCCAGGGATGGACACTGTGGCTACTGAAGGAAGGGGGACTTCTGCCTTCAAGGCAGAAGCAGGCTTGTACTTTCATTTGCTGCAGTTATCACACATGAGACCTGAGCCATACTCCAAGGCAGGGTCTGGTGCAAAATCCTGAGGGTGGGATATGTGTGAGATGCCACTGGTAAAAGCTGATGTAGCTGGCTCACAGTGAGGGGTGACTGGGTCTGTGCTGTCTGCCACTCACCCAGGCAGAGCACAGACCTTCCTGCATGAGCTGAGTCACAAGTAAGTGACAACAGTAAGACATTTTGATGTGGTCTTGGTCTAAGGGATGCTTTTACTTGTAACAACTGCAAATAATGGATATGGCCCTGTCCCTGTGTGATAGAGGTCCCTGGGAATGACAGGAATGTGTCCCACCACAAACAGGAGGCAGGACAGCTTGCCTTTCCAACCCACCCAGCCCCAGCCATAGCAGGCTGTGGTCGGCACAATACTGGACTGGGGACTGCTGCTGTACTGGGATCACATGAACTGTTCTTACCCTCTCTGGAGCTAACACTGTCTCACTCCTTACCAGCTACGCTCTGAGGAAGCTGCTTCCCCTGCCCCTCTGTCCTGTGTGACCGAGGAGCAGCTCTGGCTCTTTGCTCATGAAGCTGAAGTCAACAAGGACTATAAGCTGGCATATCACTACTACCAGCAGGTAAAGGAGCCCCTGTTCTTTCCTGCCTGTCTCCTGAGCGTCTGGGCTGGCAGGCAACATGCCATGGTAGCAACATGGGGCATGTTTTGCTAACAGCTCGATCAGCCCTGACTGTTGTGTAGGGAGGAAGGAGGGGAATGTGACCAGGATGCCCAGGCTGAATGTGAGGGATTTTCTAGGGAGATGCTGCTCTCTGGAGGATGTGAGACAGAGCCTGGCCAGGTCACTGACAACTTCAGCCTCCAGACCAGGGAAAATGGGATAAGCTGGTCCAAAAGCTGTGCTTGGTCAGCACTGGGGACGCTGGGCCCTCTAACAGGAGGCTAGGAGGAGGGCAGCTGAAGCTGGAGGACATGTGTTAGGAGGCTTTGAGGAAGCCCAGCATATCCCAGTTAAGGGAAACCCTAGTACGTGACAGACAAGGGTTTGATTATTGCTAAACTGGGCTGGGGTGGCCAGAGGACAACTGTGGTTGTCCCAGAGTTGTCTCCCCAGTCCATTGGGTGTGCTGAGCATGATTGCAGTAGTCCTCACTCCAACAGTGATCTCCCTTTGTCCAGAGGATCGCTCAGGACCAGTGCAACATCCAGTACTGGCTGGACTATGGGGCGTTCTGCCTCCTGCTCGAGGAAACCACCAAAGCCCACGAGTGTTTCCGGAAGGCTCTTTCTCTGGACATCCACCATGTCCCAAGGTGCTGCATGCTCCCAGTGGGTGGTAGGTGTCCCCCACAGCACTGCCTGTGGCCTGCAAGGGTAACCTGTACCACCCTGTCCCCAGCTTGCTGCTCTGTGGGCTTGTGGCTGCTCTGCTGCAGCACTATGAAGATGCAGAGATTTTCTTTGAGGATGCCTGCTGCTTGGAGCCATCCAGTATCATAGCCTGGACACTTTCAGGTACAAAGGCAACCCAGCCTGTGTGCTCAAGGCATTCTTGTAGAGCTGTGCATTGATTCTGCTCCTCTTCTCCTGGTTTTAATCTGAGGGCTAAGGGAAGGATTTTGCTAAGGGACAGATGTCTGCTCATGTTGCCTTCTCTCTCACATAGGTTTGTTTTATGAGCTGCAGAGTAATAATATTCAGGCAGAAATGTCCTTCCGTGAAGCTAAGAAGCTACTGCAAGCACAGGTCACCAAGGAGAGGAGCGTCCCTGAGGCTGCTGAGGGAGAAGAAAGGAAAAAGCACATTTCTGCTCCGTGTGTGAGGTCTCCCATCCCACGCTCAGAAGAGTGCTTGCTAGGTAACACTGAGTAAAACCAGGAGGTGCCCTGACACCAGCAAGGATGGGGCTTGGAGCGGTGTGGAAAATGGTGAACAGAGGAAGGAAAGGAGAAATTTCTAAGTATGTCTAAGAGGAGAAATACAAAGGGTAAAGGCAGAAGACATGGACTGTGAGTTAGAATGGACTGACCACAACCTACAGGAGAGGCAACAGCTGCAAGTGTGCTACTTCAAATGATGCTTTCTGAAAGCAGCACAGCCAATGCCTTGTCTTAACCCCCTGCCTTGCAGAGGGCTCAGTCTCTGCCTTTATTTTTCTGCCCCAGTGCTGCTGGTATACTGATGTGTGGGCAGTGGGATGGAGGAAGCACATGTACTTTTTGAGGGTTTGGGAGGGCAGAGCTGTGACAGTCATACATCAGTCATCCAGGTTCAGCTTTCACGAAAGCTGTGGCTGTGACTTCCCAACACAGCTTGGAAAGCACTGTCTCACTAATTCAAAGAGCAAAAGAGCTGCTCGGTGGTGACCCTCAACCAAAGGCTTCCTTTGGAGCCTCACTGTGTCCAGCCTCACCCTGAGCCAAGACTTTTCTGTCTCGTGGCCCAAATATTTGGCCAGGCTGCAAGAAATGTCAGCTGGCTTTATTTTTAACATTATCACCACTTCATGCAAAGTGCCGCAGGCAGGCAGGCCTTGTGTTGTATGCCTTTTTTTTGTCCCTTCTGATTATGAGGGAAGGGATACCGCCTCATTTATATCTGTTGCTAGCTTCACATGGTAATCTTGTACTCAAAACCCCAGTCCCAGGTATTGCCTCCTGCAAAGAAATTTCTTCCCAGTTCTGAAAATCTGATAGATCTTTTCTATTTTCTCTTCTCCTTGTTTCTGCAAAATCATGCTTCAAACTGGGCGATTTATGGCAAATTCTTTGTTTGCATGTAATAGTTTTTGAGGGTTTTATTCCAGATGGCTCAGCCACAAAGATACCAGAGGTGATGGAGCCTGCTCTGGACTGCACGGTGCCCGAGGAAGAGACTGCTGCACCAGCAGTATCCCCAAAAGGTTAGGAGGTGGGGTCTGGTGTGAAAGGGAGAGCCCAGTGCTAGGAGATGGTCTCAAGCAATCAGTGGGGAAGAGAGTAACTTGGGAGCACTAAGCCATGGCCATCCTGATGCCAAGGCAAGACATGAAAGCTTGTTCTCTCTCCTAAGCCAGGAAACCTCCAGTAAAGCAGGTTCATCCTGATTTTCAGAGCAGCACATGTCAGGATGGACAGCCAGCAGGTGAATGCAGCTCTCTCCTTACTGCACCCAGTGGCCTTCATCAGCTGCTTGGATGTCTCCCTTCTGAGATGCCAGCTCTTAAATTGTCCCTATGGTTCCCTTCTGGTCATGTGCTGTGTGACCTGCCTTCTCTGCAGCTCCACTTTCTAATGGGTGGCAAAGAGATGGCAATGCTAGGTGCTTCAGGCTCTGCTGGGTTGCTTTGGGGAGGCAGGGGCCTCACTGTAGTTAACTCTGGCAAGCTTCAATCATAAATTCCCACCTTTTCTTCCTCTGAGCTTAGACTGGAAAATTAGTGGGTGAAAAACATTATTTCTTTTCACATTTCTTACAAAAACTTAAGCCCTTCAGAATGAAATGTGGAGTTAATCTCTGCTTCAGCCTCCCCTGTCACCTCCTGGGTTTTACACTGTGTTGCTGGAATTCCTCTGTCCCCAGCAGGGTCTCAGCCTCTGTTTTTGCTTCAGAAATAAAATGCCCACTTTGGAACTACTGGAGACATGTTTCCTTACAGCACCATCCCCTGCTTCAGGACCTAGCCGACCTCCCTGTACAATCTTCATGAAGACAGTGGAGTTCCTGATGAAATTCAATGCCATCCAGGTCAGCTAAACATGGAGTGGAAGAGTGAGAATGGAGGTTTTGTCTCCTTCCCTGGGTTATGACCAAAGAGCTGGTGGTAAGCTCCAGCAAGCTCCCTTCATGGGCTTAAGAGAACAAGCTGTGGCTACCCCAGCTGCCACGTGCAAGAGGGAGCAGAACCAGCACGGCCCAGAAATGCAGAACTGTGGCCAGGCAGAGTATTCAGACCAAAATGCTGGTTGGGGACACAGTCGTCCCTGGCAGGTGAGGTTCTTGGGGCTGCCTCAGCTCAGCTGAGCACTGCTTGCTGTGGAGGGAATGGCAGACTTGGAAACGGTGCAGATGTGCTCTTCTCTGTACCTTCGGAGATGAGATTCATTACTGTGATGCTTCCAAGGTGCCAGTGCTCCTTTCTTGTTTCAGATGCTTGTCTGTGTCAGAGTACTTTTTGTGTCACCTGTGGAACGTCCTTGTCACACACAGTCACCTCTGTGGGATCTCTCTGACTGGCACATTATGTGCATGCCTTAATTTTATGTGGCAGCAAGAGCTGCTTAAAGCAAAACAGAAGTAAAAGTAATGGAGGTAAATATTCAAAGGAAGGGGGAAAAATAATCTCCTGTCTGTTTTCTGTTCATGGAAGTCAACTAGGTGCGAGTCAGTCCTCCTGCTGTGTGCTTCTGGGAGTGCCTGTGGTGTGCCTGCTCTCCTAAGAGCTCCGATGTGCTGTTCCTCTGCAGTTCATTCACATGGCGCTTGCCCATGAGCTGCTGAGCCTTCAGGAAGGTCCCTCCTCTGCCTACTACCTGGCGCTGGCCCAGACCCACTTGTTGAAGGAAGATTTTTCCAAATGTGAAGACTGTCTCTGCGAGGCTGTCAGGATTGACTACATGGTAACTCTGTGTGTCCCTGGGGCGTAGCACGCTGTCCTGAAGCAGGACACTGGCCAGGCACTGTTACAGACCCTGCTTGTGTTCCTGCTGCTTGCGAACCTAGAGCCCACGCTTCATTTGCACTTGAGTAACTCTAATGTTAGTCTGCAGCAATTTCTGCAGGGGAGAACAATCAGAGCTGGTGAACCACATCAGGAGGTTGCTGCAGCACTGCCCTCTTCATTACCCCACTTATTACTTGCTTTCTGTCATCTCCTGCAGACAGGTGGCATTTCTGAGCGAGGACCCCTCTCTGCAGCTTTCTTTTTCCCTTTGAACGTGTCCATCCTGATCCTCTTTCCC